CCAAACATCTGAATGAACTAAAGAAAAAGGACTCGACACACGGTTATCAACCCTAGAACTAAAGGGAACACGATGGTGTTTTCCAAACTGACACGACTCACAATCCAAAACAGAAAACTGACTCAAGGATGGAACCAAGGACTTCAAGACTTTTAGCGACGGATAACCAAATCGGCAGTGCCACTAGAGAGGAGAAAGAGATGACTGGAGAGTTGTAGAAGTTCTACCGCCACCACCGTCAAGATAATACAGTCCACCTGCTTCATTCCCTCCACCAATCTTCATCCTCGTCTTGAGATCCTGAAAAACACACATAGAAGGATAAAAGGTAATGGAGCAGTTAAGTGATTTGGTCAGCTTACTAACAGACATAAGATTAAAAGGCAATTTAGGAACATACAGAACTGAGGAAAGGGATACAGGATCTAGGTCAACATTACCAACACCACAAATTGAGGATGTGGAACCATTAGCAAGGGTGACAGATTGTGATGTTGAGTAATGAGATAAAGAGGAAAACACACCTGGAGTTCCAGTCATGTGATCGAAGGCTCCAGAGTCGATGATCCAGGGATTGGGTGTGGATGCCAGACAAGCCATACCTGAGTGAGYGAAAGTCGCTGTGTTCTGCTGTGATTGGATAAACCTCTCGTATTCATCACGGGGAACACTCGCCATCTCCTTCACAGGACCATCTGTGGATGTAGGAGGCATCTGATCAGATGAATAATTCTCCTGTCAAAGCTGGAACTTGAGTCACCGGTCGCGGCATGATTGGCCCAGGTTGAGGGAGGACCATGTAGATCATAACAATAGTTGATAGTATGTCCATCCATACCACAATGATTGCACTTCCTCGGGCCTGAGCCACGTCCTCTACCACGGGCTCCCCCTGAATCTCTACCCCCAATACGACCACCACCACAATTATGAGTAGGCCCACCATTGCCACTTCGGCCATACGCAGAACCACTACCACCACCACGGCCAAACTGAGCTCCCCTAGCTCCACCTCTAACACCACGGCCTCTCGATACAGCAAAGGCAGATCTATCTGAGATATTAAAGTTCTCAGTAGATTTGAAAGAAATCCTTCGGAGTCTAGCAAATACCTCTTCTAAGGAGGGAAGAGCTGATCCTCCTAATATCTGAGCTCGTACTGGTTCATATTCAGACTTTAGTCCCACCAAAAATCTAGTCACATCAAGTTGTTCTCTCTGTCGTTGCTGAATCTTGACATCAGAAGTGAGAGGATGATAGACATTCAACTCATTACGTATGTTYCTCATGTTGGCATAGTACTCCTCAAGACTCTGATTGCCCTGTTGCAGGTTAAAGTACTCTTGATA